TTATGAAGATGCTATTTGATTTGACAGAGAATGATTCAGTTATTCATTTCCATCTGGACATTATACTCATTAGGCTTGTTTCCTTACTGCTAATATATGTCTTGCCTTTATGGACGGTTTGTGCCCTCTTACTGCTAAATTGCGATTCTTGCAAAGAGTATGGTCTTATTAATGGTTTTCCCTCAGAATGAAAGATAGGAGATTATTTGCATCATTGACTATGCTTTTGCAACATATGAAAGAAATGATACTGTATTTTATTGACAAGATTATGTTTCATACAATATAAAAGATGACCCTTGGGTATTTTAGGAATGATAGAGAATCAACTCAAAGTTAGGATAATTCAGAGTTTAGTTCTGAGGGATCTAGAAGGTTTTGAAAGGACAAAAGTGATTCTTAATTATCTCCAAGATCATTGTCAACATAGTAAATATTTATGACACATGCAAGGTGATCTGTGGGCTACCATGTTGCTCATAACTCCTACTAGGGACCACATTTTGTAACACACTTTGTGTAAATAGTATGTGCATATCCTTCACTTCCCAGAAAGAGACACCATCTTACCATAAAAACCAAGAAACTGTTAAAGAAATGCCATAACGTGCAAATTAACATTATCTACAGAATATGTAACAAATGAAAATCAACAGGAAAGAAGGGAACATGCAGGTCCTGCTGATGGTAAGAGATTAAGTGACGGTGCAAGGTTTCATTGGCCAAAAATGCTGTTTGAAAGCATCTTCGTGATTCCTAATGTAGCACTTTGCACATGGTAGTTATTGTTCTAAGAATTTTATGCGATTACAGGTTTTTGGTTTTTTTTTTTTTTAGAAAACAAGTAATGTGGTTTCATTTCAATAATTGCTTATTTTCCTTTTCTAATCGCCCATCAGTTGATAATAGCTTCTCAAATTTTAGACTACTCAGCTCTTAAGAAGTAAATGACTTATAAAACATTTCATGAATGTTTTAATCACACAGGGATTCATCATCCCAGTATTTATTGAGTATAGGCTACACGAGCCATCTGTTCTGTGGAGACCACAAATGTAGGCTTCCCACCCTCAAGGAACTTAGGCTAATATGGAAAATACGGTACAGGTGGTCATTGCATAACATGGCTCATCACCTCCTAATAGTTTGCTGAGGAAGTTGATATTTTCTATATCAGGATTCCTTAAGCCATAGAATGATGTGATTATTTAAGCTTAAACATAAAGCTGTAGAAAGCACGATGCCCTTCCTCAGAATACTGGCTTGCAGAATGCTCCCCTTAGTGATATCTGAGCCATAATTGACAGCTCAAAACGAAATCTTATCCGTAAAGCAGTGAGCTTCTTAGCCGCAAAGAAGTGACCAGCTGGTTGCTGGTCACCCTACCAGCAATACACTCCCACTATGCCAGCAATTTTCAGCCGCTGTGGGGACTGGAGGCCTCCATGATGGACGTGGCAAGCCACGTGCAACAGCCCGTGCTCTGTGGACGTGCTCCTAGCAAGACCAATCGCCCCGGTTTGCCGAGGACCGAGGAGGGGTTTTCCAGGACTTTCCGTGCCCCAGTCCCAGGCAAACCAGGACCGTCGGTTTCTCTACACATTCTCCTCTAACTCTGCAGAGTGCAAAGGAGAACACCTGTGTTCAAACAAGCGCAGGAGGTGTGCGGCTCTCCCCGCCAGGAACGGTCATCAGGAAACAGTGCCCAGCACTCACGGGGCATTTTAAGGGCTCACGCAGAGCCTCGCCTCCAGACAGCACCGCGAGGCAGGGACTAGCGGGGCACTCACTGTTCAAGTGAGAAAAAAGGAGACGCAGAGGGCTTGACTCTGTTTTCCAAAATCACCCAGCTGTTAAGTGTGGGCAGCTCACCTTGCCTCTGTACTGTCCATCTTTTCCTCTCCTTTAAAAACTTCCAAAGACCATGTGGAAGCCTGCTGGCCTTCCCTTCAGGTCCCGTTTCTCATCTGAGTCATCCTCACCTCTCTGGCTGATTGATGGGCCTGGGGGAGCCCATCTTTGGCTTTGGAGTCTTTGATAAGGAGTCAGTGGTTTGCAGAGTATATTTATTGCAGGGAGGGGAGGGCACATAGTGGACACAGACCTTGGTAACAATTTAAATGCCCAACAGTAGGAGTCGCTTTTTAGGAAAACTAATGTGCCATCCCCACAAGGGATACACTGACCGGGGAGAAAGTCTAGAAACTGGGAGATGCATGCACAGACTGCTCCTTTCAAGCAGTAGCTGTTGTATACCCAGTTCATTTACTGAACAGCTCTTGGTGATGTGTCATACATATGGCCGGCCGTGGGCACACAGCAGAGCAGAACAGGGTCCTGGCCCTCTGGGACCGGATGTTCTGGTGTGGGATGCGCTAGGTCAGTGCGGCTGGGACACGTGCTGGGAAGGAAATGATCAGGGGTGGAGGCGACTTGCTGTAGAGCGGGAGGCTGGGGAAGAGGCTGCCCGCGAGGCCTGCATGGGAGAATGGACAGCTGTGCAGAACAGAGGGGCTGGAGGTTCAGGAGAGTAACCAACGGGCCGATACCTCAACGCTGCCACGGACTTGGAAAGGCAGGAAGGATCCGGAAGATGCTGAGCCCTGGTGGCCACCGGAAAGAGTCTGAGCTTTCGCCTATGAGCTGTAAGAAGCCAGTGGAGCACTTCAGACATGGTCAAATGGGTGTTTGGGGACAATTGCTCAGGCTGCTGTCCCACAGCGGGTTGGAGGGGGGCTGGTGCCGGAAGCAGGGAGACTAGTGTGCTTGGCTGGACCTCAGCAGGTGAGACCCGGGGGCGGGTGCCACCCCTGGGAATAAAGAGGAAGACCAGTGCAAGGGCGGGAAGACAGGACAAGGACTCTGGGGCTAATGGGTGGGCAGGGAGGTGGAAGGTGGGACAGCCGAACCTCAATGCCACAATTTCCAAGCCCAGTGACTGGGAGGACCACCGACTCCTCATCACAAGGGCTTTAATAAGTGCTCTTTCCCTTAGCCCTCTCTCTTCCACCTGCAACCCTGAACCAGACCTTCAGGGGTCTTTTAGATTCTGTAACATTGCTTGAGCTTTTTCGATGTGCAGCTTGCAGGGTGCCTCAGACATGTTTCCTCATGCATGCTTCAAAGCAGCAACAAGAGGGAGCTCTTGTTATTACCTCTTTGTTCCACAGGAGAAATCTGGAGCTCAGCAAGGTGAATAAAACTTCCCCGGGTCACACAGCTTACCTGGGGCAAGGTCTTGGTGAAGGCAGGATTCAGTCTCACTAAAGCAATCACTCTCACACCACACTGCAGTCTCCCCTTACACCCCCAGTGTCCCAGAGGCGTTTCTAGTCTCCTCCACCCCTCCTAGCCTTGCCCTGGGACGGGCCAACTGCAGCCCTTGCCTTTGCTGGAAGTGTCTGTCAGGGTCTGTGCCCCTGGCCTGTGCCTCCAGGCCCAGTATCTGGGGAGACAGGTCTGCCATCTAGTGGCCACTGCCTGCCTTTTTCCTCCGAGCGTTTAGAAGAAAGGAAAACGTCGGGAGTTTCCACATACAAGACAGGCCTGCATATTTATAGCATCACACCCTGTAAACAGGAAACTTTTCAGTCTTAGAGAAGGAGCCCAGTAACATAAACATAGCATATTTGCCAATGAGTTTCTCCACCCATTCAACAAACACTTAAATAGATATATATATATTGTGTATGTGTGTGTGTGTGTGTGTGTGTGTGTGTATCAAATATTCATTCCACTGCAAAGTGTGCTTCCTGAAATAGGGATTTCTTTTGTCTCTATTGCTCGCTAATGAATCTCAAGACCCTAGAACAGTGGCATTTACATAGCAGACATGCCACAAATATTTACTGAAAGTGGAATAAATGACTTTTTAATATTTACTGCATCTTTACTGTATACCAGGCACTTGATGTGTACGTTTTCTCATTTAATCCTAATGACATCTCGAGAGGTAGGCACTATCAGGATACCCATTTCTTAGATGTGGAGACAGAGGTGCAGAGGGATAAGAAGCTTTCCAGGTTTGGGGAGGACTGGCTTTTGACTCAGATGTTCTGACTTTAGACACCCTGTGTTTCATACTGTGCGGAGTGCCCCTTGTGTGCCAGGCCTCGTGTGCAGAACTGCCACCGTTTAGACAAGCGGTAGAAATACCTCCTGGGGACCACTTGCCATTCCCCTGCCACGTTTTGTCTTTATTGAGTGAAGCTTCCCTTTCCACAGTGCTGTGACAGCAGTAAATGGAGTGAATTCAGGAAAGGCTGGCTGTCCAACGAGTCCCTGTCACTAGCTAGCTCTGTGGCTGTGTCACCTTGTACAGCGGCCCTGAACCTCAGTCAAAGGAGGAGACTGAGTTCGGATCCCTGCCTTCCCTTCCAGCTCCAACATTCTACTGTTCCTGTGACTCCCAGGGAGCCAGATGTGAGTGGAAGACAGAGGACCACTTGTTACTAGGCAACCAGTACCCACCTCACCCATGTTGCCATGGTGATGATGAAAGTCTGGCCGATGGGATTACCAGCTCCTGTTAATTGCATATGAAAGCTGAAGGTCTCTGTCTCTTTCTTGCTTGCTCTCTCCATCTTACTTTCTTGTTCTTCTAGGAACTGTGGAGAGATCTCCTCTCTTCCATCTGCAGTGTCCCTGAGGCAGCCATAGTGCAATGGAAAGCAACTAGAAATGGAGACTGGCTGTGCCTCTGAGTAGCTGTGTGACCTTGGGCACGTTACTCGGCTTCTCTGGGCCTCCATTTACCCATTTGGAAGATGAAGGTGTTGGAGTAGTGGTCCCTGTCTAAGGCTCTTCCGGGCTCTCAAATCCTTTTTGATGCCTAGGGAGCATGTCAGGGGAGCAGACCACACTGTTACTAGGCAACCAGCAGGCACCCTGCCCAAGTTGCCTTGGTGACTGGATGCTGGAAGGGAGGGGAGTAGCTGCTGCAGCTCACTGCTTAATTATTTATGAGTGCCTCAAGTCTTTTTTGTTGCTTTCATTGCTAGGGGCTGTGGGGTCACCTCCTCTTCCTCCCTCCTGCCGCCCCAAGCTGTCTGAGTTGCGTGTTACGCAGGGGGAGAGCACATTGGCCTGGATCTCAAGCTACCCACGTTCTAGTCCTGCCTGTGTTATTTCCTAGAGCTGTGGCCTCGGGTAAGTCACCTCACCTCTCTGGGCCTCAGTTTCTCCATTTGTAATATGATGGGTGTGCGTAGGTCATCTCCAAGTTCCCTTTCTACCCTGAAATTATTGGAATTCCTGCTGCCCAGTTGCAAAGTGGGAAAGATGAGGGGAATTTTCCTCATATATTATCTTCTAAGGATGATTCTGAAGAGTGATAACAAGAGTTAAGTCTCTTACACATTTCAGACAGGAAGGGAATGAAAGTAATGCCCATTGTTCCCTCCTTGCTTCTCACCTTAGTCATGTTGCCTGACTTCTTTTATTAATCTTAAGGTGATTTAAATTTTATATTTTTTGTATATCACCTGCTTCCAAAATAGATTTGAGGGGCTCACGGTATAAGATGCACACGTGCAATCAGATCATTAACATAAAAATAGGAATATATTAACATAAAATAGTGATGCCTTTTCACTGGTTAATATTGATGTTGTGGTGGAACAGCAGATGTCATTTCGAGCATCCTGGAAGCCAAAGCAAAAAGGGAGGGAGGTACATAATTGATATTCAATAAAGACAAATTGCCAGACTGTTCCTAGTTCTAAATTCTGAAAGTAATTTATCATGTGGTACGTACTCCCTTTTAGAAACTGCAGATAAAACTTTTAAAATATTCCTTTCTTGCTGAGAGTATTGTCACAGAACATAAGGGAGAAGCTAAACTTGACACTTTGACTAGTTCTAATCAATAGAAAGCAAAAACTCCCTCTCTACCAATGCCTTAGAATTTTATATGAAGATTAAAGATGTCACTAAGTAAATATAAAATTTCAGAATCAGCCATTATTTAGAAATCCATTATATATAAATGCATGTACCCATTTGCATGGTAATTTAGCAATTTTAGACACAGGCAAAAATTCTTCTTCTCCAGACTTACTCTGAAATAAACTTGTGCAGTTGAGGAAAGACATTAAATATAAAAATGCTTATGGTAGCATTATTTATCAAAGAAAATGACTGCAAGCCAAACAAATCTTGAGGGCTAGGGAGTTAAATTACATTACTTCTTTAGAATGGATTACTTTGCAGTCCTTAAAAAGAAGTCGATTTATATGTTTTGATATGAAAGTCTTCAAATATATAATGTCAATTAAGATAAGGAGGTGCGGCAGTGGTATAAAATGCTTCTATTTCTTTATAAAAGACATAGGTAGTAGGTATACAATTTATATTTGTAGATCTATGCCTTTACAGGCATACGTGCATTTTTCCGGAAGGAAACTGTTAACAGTGAGTGGTTTCCTCTGGGCAAGAAGACTGATAGCCTTGGGAGGGAAGGAGACTTACTATTCATTTTCTTATTTTTACTATGTGGACCTGTTAGTTTTCCAGTTAGAGAGGCAGTAGAGACTGGCAGTTAGAAGCCTAGACTCTGGAGCCTGAATACCTATGTTCCAATCCTGGCTCTCTCACTAACTGGGTGACCTTGGGGTTAATTTAACTTCTCCACTTCTCATCTATTAAATGTGCTAATAACAGTATCTTCCTCATTGGATTTTGTGAGGATTAAATGAGTTAATAAGGATAAAGTGCTCAGAATAGCGTAAACACTGCCATATATGCATTTTCTGGAAAAAATAAACGGAGAAATTAACCAACCCCCAAAATGCATCTAACCGAAAGCGCCCCTTGTATCTCAGAGGTGGAAGGGCTTTTAAATATGTCACTGCTTCCAGCATCATACGTTGTATAAAAATTATGTTCGAAGCAGGGATAGCAAAGCAGCGGTTTTGTTTTCATTGTGGTCATTTTATCAGAACTTGAATACCTTTTAGGGAAGGCACCTACCCTGGGATTCATAACGGGTGTTTACAATGCCTGTGAAACCCCCGAACCCATCTAGTTTTGTAGCTCCTCTTCTAGTCCATCCCAGAGATGCTCAGGCTAAGAGCGGAATGTATGCTAGGCCACGGAGAAAATCTTTGAGGAGACAGAACTCTACATCCACAGCTGGTAAAGGCCAGAGAGGCACTATCCAGAAATTCAAGCTTAAGGAGGGTGTCCATGTCCATGCCAGTTATGACATGTGTGTTCACATGCCCTCATGCGTCTCCTTTTCTTTTGAAAGAGAGAATGATAGACACTTGCCAAGGGGCGGTGCTAGGAGGCTCAGGAATCTTAATGGCCATAGGGGCTTCCTCTGTATTCAAAGACGCAGAAAGCGGAGGGCTGGGTTCCTGATGCCCAGTTTCCTCCTCCTTCCCTGTGGGTGCTTTGGGGCAAGTGTGGAGACCTGGGGCTGATTTTGGGCACCCTCATTTAAAGTTGGTCACACTCTGGGCACCTGGTGGCCCCTTCAAATCAGCTGAGTTAGGAAACATGCAAAACTGACCTGTAACAACTTCATCCCCCGGTCAGTGGTCCTGGTTCTGTCTGTCTGACCCTTTCTGCACTCTTGGGCACTCCAGTCTCTGTTCATTTGGCCAGCGGTTCCCCGGGCATCTGTCTCTGACATCCAACTGTGCTTCCATCTGCCCTTCCATCCCTCCACCCCTCCTCCAGCCATCTGCCAGCTTTCCCACCCATCCTTCAGACTGCTGGTATGTCTGTCCACCCCTCCTCCCCTCCCACCATGTGGGTCTGAGACTCCGTCCACTGGACCATCCATCCATCCATCCATCCCTCCGTCTTTCTGTAGCCCACCCATAGGTCTTGCTCACCTCCTGTCTGGCTGCAGAACCCACCGCTTGGCCCTTCCTCTGTTCCTCCCACCCCTGTAGCCTGGAATCCGTCCCCGCCGCTGCTCTGCCCTCCCCCAGACCCGCGAGTCCGTCAGTCCCCGCACGCTGGGTCGGTGCCTGCGCCGAATCGGCCTCCCACTCGCGTGGGCCGTGCTTTTGTTCGGCGGCCCGGGGCCTGGCGGCCCGGCGGCTCGGCTCCAAGGCCGGGCGGGCGAAGGGCCGGGGCGGGGCGCGCGCGGGGCGGGGCGGGGCGGGGCGGCCGCGGCGGGGCGGGCGGGGGCTTGGGTGACTCAGCCGCCGCTCGCCCCGCGGTCCGTGCGTCCGCCGGTCTCGCGGGCGGGGCGGAGAAAATGGCGTTGCCCCCGGCCGCCGCGCCCCCCTCCGGGACCCGGGCACCGCCGGGGCCCCGCGCCGCCGCCGCCGCCGCCGCCGCCGCCGCCACCGCGCCGCCCCCG